ATATAAATACTGATTTGTGAAGTATTAGAACTTACACACTAATAACCAATGGATAATTTGTTCACAAATTATAACTATTACAAATGCTTGGCAATCACAGATGTTAATTAAATACTTTGGTTAGAAACTAATAAGAGCAGAGTACATTTTAAGAAAATAACACACTATAATACTTAGTGCTATTTTGTTCTGCCACAAAAAAGAAAATATTCTTACCTCTTCTTGATTGTTATTATTTTTTGAGATTTTTTTTTTAGGTTATCTATCTTTCCATATATTTCTCACTTATATCACACTTTGATGACTTGTGAAAATACTTATATTGTTCACATTATTTATCAAAGTCATATTAATGATGATTAAACTTTGTATATAAAATTGGGTTTGATCCTTGCCACACCCTTAGTAGACAGGGAGCATAGGAAAGAGATAAAGAAACTGAGGCCTAATGGGTACTGGATGCCTCCTTCTGTTTTGACTTACACTTCAGGAGGAAGCAAGAACTCATCTTTTAGCTCTTTGCCAGAATTACCATCTTACTTATAACCTCTTCAAAGTGGTAGGTCCTTGCTTCATTTTCACTGGCTATTTGAACCACTGGCTGCACTAGTTAACTAGTCAGTTGCCTCAAGATTTTCTTGCCTTGTGACTGTCTTAGTGATACATTTCTGATACTGATCTCTGACTTTATTATTTGCTCTTTGCCTCCAAGTAACCATGGAGGCAATAAGAGCCATAAACTGCCATCTGCACCAGTCTCTCAAGCGTTTTTGAGCCATGTCAGCTTTGTCTAGCCTTCCACCATAAGAGAGTTCCAACACCCAGTCAGGGATCAATAAATTTCAGACAATAACTCAACAGAAAACACTTTTAGAAAATGTCATTCAAACTGTTAAAAATGAGAACTTCACAAATTCTTGACAATTTCAGTCAACAGTAGGCTGGCGACATGGATTAATAAAAGTAGTTGTTATGAAGGCAGATCTTTGCAGTCCTCTTAATTTTTAAAATTGAAGTAATAAATTCCCCAGGTATACTTGAACAATTTCTGTTGACTTAATTAGAGAAGGAATGCTTCAAGGGTGAATTCTTTTCCTAAACTTGGTTGTCTTTTCAACTGATGATACATCTGAAACCATAGGTAGGGAGCAGGTGTGTGATGGTTTGAGTGTTAGCTTATATTTGGCAAAACTCTGACTACAGAGTGAAGCCATTAGCGATGTTGTCAGTGAGATTGATGATGTTACGCATTTTGAAATTGTCCTTGACAAATTACATAAAATGCACAATTCTTCTCCAAAGACATATCATGCATTGTGGCAAAATGTAACTTATAATACACTCTTTTCAGGGGCAAGGATTTTATTAGTTCAGTGAGGTATATCCAGATTAAGTTGGGTTTCTGAAATTCTCTGAAATAATTCTATGAAAATATATTATCATAAACAGCTCACAGAGTCAAATGAAAGGAGATGAATAAATGTGCTGGGAGGGAACTATTGAAATAATATGAACCTCTCCCAGGATATGATCTCTCCTTCTGTGGAATCAGGATCTGGTATGTTGGAGAAAATAGGTCTCATGGAGGTGTGAAAAGACCATGGATAATAACCCAGAATTCAATCTTGAATGGCCTGAGTTTCTGAAATTGGAGTGCATTTGCCTTGTGCATACAAAGAAACTAGAGGCACATCTTCTTATAAATGGACTGGGTCAAATTGTTCACCTTTCCTACCCCCAATAATTAACACTTTAAATACTATTTTACATTAAAATTAAACAGATATATTATGAAGTATAATTTAAAATTCCCATATTTTTTAAATGAAGAGTAAAAATTCAAAGAAATTTTGTGCTTATATTGATTGGTCACATCTCTAGCTAATGGCATGTATCTACCTGCCTTTGATTTAGATATAATTATGGATATGCTACACCAGAAAATGGACCTAAGTATGGAGACAGACTGGACAGGCAGAGCACAATCTCAGGAAGCCTGAGGTAACTCCAAAGACCAAGGCGGAAGTCCACACAAGGCTGAATATCTATGTTAATTCCTTTCCTCATTCCTTGTCACCCTCCTTTTTTAACATAAAACTAAAACACAAAATCATCGAGTTTCAGGATTCAGAGAGATTTGCGGGGGGGGGGGGGGGCGGGGTTTAAATATTCTTACTACATAAAAATTCTAGAAGAGGTTTTCAAAAGTCTGCTGGAATACGTCAATGACAGGAAACTCACTATTTTGCAGAAAGTTCTTTCTACCTTCCAAGCATATGAATTATGTAGGAAATGGAGGTGTGGTATGAACAATGGTTTCTAAGGCCACACATCAGAAGAAAAGTTAGCTTTAAAAATCTCTTTACCCTGACTTTTCATCAGTGCTCTTTTCATGAATCTTTAGTGGAAAATTTGACTATAACTTAGTGTAAAGGAAACTGGTTTGGCAAAACTCTGAAAGTCCTAATTCAAGCCAGAAAAACATATGATACCATAAAAAGTTACACAATCTAACTGAATAGAGAAATATGCAGCACTATTGCCCATCTCCTAACACTGGGGCAGGAAGTTCTTACTCCATTTTTAAGTCATAGAGCTTGTGTACTGAAGAATTATTTCCCCATTTGTTCTTCTCCTCCTCTTCTGGGTTTGTAGGTAGCCCAGATATAGACTGTTACTTCAGAGGAAAAAATTTAAAAGGTATTCTCCCATTTTTGAGTCAATAAAAGTAAAGAATCTATAATAAACCACAAGTAATTCTAGAATTATGCAAAAAAATTCCACAAAATATATACAAAAATTTTTACCAAATATTGCAATGATTCTTTACCCTCAATTCTAGAGGGTCAACTGCATATCAATTAAAAAATTTTAGGACATAATTTTAAAGTAATAAAAACATTCTACTTGTAATCACACAACTAATTGATTGCTTTATCAAGTGCATAACTTCTGTAAAGATTTTGTTTAAACTGAAATTGCTGTAAGTCACACCATGGAGAACAAAAAACAGACTTAAAAGGACATAAGGGAAAGGCAGAAAAAAGGAAAACTGCTGCTGATAAAATGACAAGATTTCAAGGAAGAGATTTATATAAACTGAATTGAAAATTCTAGATAGGCAAAGAAGTTGAAAGGCAGAAAAACAAAGCAGACTCAAAAAATGAAAAGTATAAAAACATGTTAGTAGAGGTGTCACTAGGTCTTACAAACCTTTATCAAAGTTTGGAAAGAAGAGAAAAAAGATAAAGGACTACCAAATCCTGGGCCACTTCTATGTATCCCACCTAGTGCTATCCCAACCTAAGACAAGGTGAAGAGAGAACAAAAGATAATGAACTTGACATACAATATTTCCCAGAATTGCTGAATATGCATGCTAACATTGTTAATGTTATCTATGTTAATGTTATATGCATTGTTAATATGCTAACATTATTAATGTTAGCATATCCAGCTACATTGTTAATGTTAGCATATTCAGCTGTTCTGGGAAACATGGGGACAAACCATGCTATTTAAATATTACAAGCCTAATCATCGATTATTAATAATATTGTATGTACCAGGTATTAAGTTCCACACTGACATAGCCGTTAATAGTTCTCATTTATACTAAAGCGTTTAAGGTAGTTTATTTATTGGTCTATTATTGATGTCAAAGCTATGTAACTTTATGCTACAAACATTATTTCACTTAAAGCTCAGAGTCCATCTTCAGTTTTTTAACATTCTAACAAGATTAAATGGCACAATTTTAGAGTGATGTTTTCAAAACGAAAACCCATTTTCTTTCTTAGTACTTAGAGGTAAGTTAGCTCGAGTAAAAAAAACATATCATTGGGCCTCCCCCGTGGCGCAGGGGTTGAGCGCTGGGTTGAGGAGCTGCCCGCAGCCTTTGCAGCGCCGGTTCGATCCCTGGCTGTTCCCCGGCCACCGGAGGAGGGTCCCACATGGCGCGCAGACCTCTCCTGCCGCCCACTGCTCCCCTCAGCAGTGTACTTCGGTCCTTCTGCCTGCTCTGCTCCCTGCTCTGGCTCTGGTGAATTCTCTCACCCTCCCGCGCTTCTGACTGTACCCAGTGCTTGTATAAATAAATAAATAAATAAATAAATAAATCTTAAAAAAAAAAAAACACGTATCATTAGCGTCACAAAATAAGTTAATACTTTTGCTAAGTTTAAGAAACTGATAGTTTGGCAATGCTGCATTTCTGCATAGTAGGCATTTTACTGAAGAAAACCTAAAACACAGACAAGTTCCCAGACACACAAAGCCGAAACCGGGCTGCGACTGACATCCAGGGTCCATCCTCTCAACCACCCGCACGCCGCCTCCCGCGGCAGAAACCTGGCAAATCGAACTTACAGTCATGGCTCTTCAGAAAGCACCAGAGCCTTAAAACGAGAACAGGATGCTCCGAGAAAGGAGGAGACACCAAGAAAGAGCTCTTAAACGTTGACAATGTGAATAAGCAAAATAAAACAGAAAAACGAGAAACGTCTCCCAGCACTACCAGCACAGCAGCTGCGGCCTTCAGTCCCGCACCCCCTGGACCCGCCGCGACGACGCTCACAGGCCTGCCCGGGGCCCTGAGGCCAGAGGCGGCTGCTACAGAGCCCAATGCGATCCCCAGGCACCCAAAGGCCCTCTGGCACCCCCGGACACAAGCGTGCGGCCTCTAACCCCGGCTGTTGCTTGTTCCTGAGACACTTGGCGCCAGGAAGCACGCGGCCTGCAGCTGTGGGCAGTTACCCACGCAACAGTAAGACCAAAAGCGAGGGGAAAATAGGCAAATAAATTCTTTTTTTAAAGGCTCATTCCCTTCAGAAAGGCTGAGTGGGGACAGCAGCTTTCTGAAGTTGTCCTGCAGGACCCTACAACAGCTTTTCACAGAGCTGTGACCTTCTTAGTCACTTGGCCCTCCGGCCTTGCCTCACTCCCGTTTCCAAGCACTTTTGCTTCTCTGGCTCTCCGCCCGCCGGGACTCAGCTTGTTACCTCAGCGCCGCTTCCCAGGGCATCCGGTCCAGGATAAGGCTCCTCAGACAACGCCCGCCTCAGTTCTGAAGTTTTGGGACAATTCACATTGTCAAAAGCAGCTGCCACTGCTTTTCCCAGAGGAAGCCGGATCTCGCCAGATCTTGGGGATCCTTATAGGGTCCCCGCGAGTCCTGGAGTGAGACACACCTGGTGCCCGAAGTAACGGCCAGCAGGATGGGCACAGTGCAGGTTTTCTATGATCTGAGCAGACGGGATAAAGGAGGAGAGAGTCCTGGAGCCCTCAGTGGCTTTTGCAGGCTTTTATTAGGATTTACCAGGTACACGGCAGGCAGAGGTGCCTGGGGGCCGGGAGGCTGGCAGGCCACCCAGCCCCCAGCAAGTCTTCCCTCTATCTGGGCTCTCCGGCCTTCTCTAGTGGCCTCTGCTTCTCCCCTCCTTTCACTCTGCTGTTCGTTCTCTTCTCTCTTTGGTTCTGCTCTTCCGTTTGTTCTGTGGGCATCCCCGTGATGCGCCCTTATAACCCCGGTTTCAACCCAGGTGAATCCCATCTACATATGCCCACGCACTATTCCAGGTGTCCGCCATCAGGCATGTATTTAGGACGGCAGAGTCATCATCAATCCTGATGGCAGGAGGGCAGAAAAGCCTGATGTTTTTTTCAATTACCCTACACCTGGTCTTAGACTCCGCTTCATGGCCCACGCATGTTCATTTCACTCTTCCACTTCTGGACTTTGGCCTCTAGACCTTCCTCCTCTGTACAACCTTTGGGGCAGAACCCATCTCTGGCACCAACCCTGGCCTCTGAGGCAGCCGCCCCTTCACGTGATTCCACGTGGGTGGAAGCAAGACCAGAGTGTCCAGGATTTAGGGTTGGCCTGTTAGGGCATGGGCGAGGACCCTTTGCTGCGGAGTCTAAGGTACCCCGAAAATGAATTGAAGAGACCATCTCTTAGACATGTCAGCATGAAATTTCAAAGGTGCAAATAAAGAAAAGATTATGAGCTTCGACTAAAAAATTATAAATGTACACACACACATACTTTATAAAGGAACACAAACCATTCTGTAATCAACAACTCCAGAGACCACATAACAGCCTAACAGTGGAGCAATATCTTCAGAGGCTGCAATCAGTCAAACTCCCACCAAGGGTGAAAGCAAAGCAAAACCGAACAAAACATTAAAACATGCAAAGAATCAGATAATTTACCTCATATACATCTTGTTAAAAGAAGGCACCTCAGCATGCACTCCAGGAAAACAAAGGAATATCCAGGAAAAAGGAAGACTGATTGAGGAGACACTGATTTCCACTCAAAAGGGCAAGAAAGAGAAGTTCTAGGATAGATAAGAGGCATGCAGAAGACTAACAAAAGCCAGCTAGATTGGAACAAGAGGCTAGAAGCCTGGGGGAAAGGGAGATAGATTTAACCTGAAAATCTGAAGAAGATGATGCAAGAAAACAAGTGAACAGTTTGAAATTTTAAGTGAAAATATATAAGAAAGTTACTTTAAAATGAAGGAAATTATAATGCTGCATAATTTTAAGTAATAAGAAAAGTTAATCCATTTGACTTAATGCTTAGAATTGTCCAGCAATGGCATAAAGGTCATGAAATTGGAGAAGGAAGTATAATTGCAGTCCAATATTTACTCAACAATGGACAGTATTTACAGAACTATAGTAATATAATGCCATTTGTTGATGATGGAAGGGTAATGAAGAAGTCCAACTGAGGTTGATGCAAGATAGAAGGCAAAAAGGAAGGGATGATAGGATTGTTCATATTATTATTCTACAGAAGGGGAGTTAAGAATACTTTTGGGGGCCTCCCTGGTAGCACAATGGGTTAAGCACAGCAGTATGAAGCAATCCGCCACTGCAGCACCAGTTTGATCCCTGGGCTGGCCAGCAGGTGAGTCAGGAGAGGTCTGCTGCGCCATGTGGGTTGCTCCCTGGCCGGGGACTGAACTAGTGCTGCAGAGGCTGCAGAGAGCTTCATAGGTTGCGACTTAATCCCTTGTGCCACCAGGGAGCCCCCATTCAAACCATTTCATCATTACCAACTTTATTTCGATCCCCAGCCAGGGAGATACCTGCATGGCACAGCAGAGCTCTCCTGGCTCACCTGCTGCTCCCCTCAGCAGTGCATTTCAGTCAGTCTGCCTGTTCTGTTCCCCACTCTGTCTCTGGTGAATCCTCTCACCCCCTGCACCTCTGGCCTGTACTCCAGCTCTTGTGTGCATAAATAAATCTTTAAAAAAAGAATATTTTCAAAGGTTGATGGAAAAAATTAGAGATTTAATTCTTATAATTTAAAGTTATAAAGATAACCTATAGAAAAAAGGATGGTAAAAAAGGCAGATACTACAGGGTGAAGAGAAGAAAGAGATGAGCACCTAGTAAACTTTATTGTCACCTTTCATATTGGGAAATCAGTGGATACTGTCCAAAAGTGCTAAATAATGACCTAGAAGTATGATAATATTATCCAGAGTCATGAAAATCACAGATATCAGTAAAAGAGTTGCTTCTGATTTGTATGGTTCTGGGTGAGGAAGAGTTGCTCAGGAGAGCAGAGCACTTTCTCTATAAAATGTCTGAAATCTTTGACTTATTTCATGGGCACGTCTAACTTTTATGAACATGAATACAACATTTTTTTAAAACTCCCAGCATACAGAACACAAATCAAGCCACAAGAATCAATAAAATTACTTAGAGTACAATGACAGTGATACCTAACATAGAATTTCAAAGCATACAAAAAAGTAAGAGGAGGTTAGAGCCGTGAGAACACAGCAAGGCACAAAAAGAGAGGCAGATGAGTAAAAAGGACAGATATTGTTGTGATAAGGAAGCCATGGGGTCAGGAGGGGGAGCTCAACTGTATCAAATATTGCTGAGGCCATGCAAGATAATCACCTGGAGTATCTATTGGATTTGGCAACCTGGAGCAAATTAATGGGAGCTGTAACCAGAGAAGGAAGCATTGAGAAGGAAAGTTAGGAAGAGTGGTTGCAGATTTAGGTGATGTCCAAGTTTTGGGGAGGAGAAGAAAGGAGACAACTAAACACTGACAAGAGATCACAGAACCACATTTTGTAGTTGTTTGATGTAGAGAGAGATGGGCTTGTCCAAATGCTGGTGGGAAGGTGGCGGTGGAGAGGGGAGAGGTTGAAGATGAAAGGATGTGGGAAGATGGACTCCAGAGATCAGTGAAGGGAACCCACAGAAGAGGGCATTCTTCCTCTGCACAGGAGGAAGGGGCCACTGATGCAATTGTGGTCACATGTGCAGTGAGCTCAAATTTAGGGAAGTTCCTGCCTGACAGCTTCTAATTACTCTGTGAAGGAAGAAGACCAAGAGAATAACCAAGAACACTAAGACTCAGTTCAAAGTATGATTTTTTTTCAGCACTCAGCAATCCAGAATTGAGGCAAGACAGGTAGGGAGCTGGGTTTATTCAAGATTGGAGTTTTGACAGGTGGGATGGAGAAGGCAAATAGGTATTTTCTAGGAGCATATGGGGAGGAAGGCAGAGATAGGCCAATTAGTAAAAGGCTAATTTGTCAAAAGCTAATTTTGCAAATAGTGAAAAGAATTTCAATTATGTAACAAAATAATCTTATTTTTTTAATGCAAGAAGGGAGACCAGAGGGTTGTTTAAGGTGCAGTTCAAATAACCAGCCTTAAATAACCAGCCTTACACAAATACTCACATTCAGGGTTTATTAACATTTATCAGGCTAGTGGAAAGTCCTGAAGGCCCCCTTCTAAAACTTGGGCAATGGAGAATTCCAGAATAGAGGGAAAATTTCCAACTTAATCTCAGTCTTACTGGAAAATAGAGAAATAGGCCCATACATCAAAAGATGGACCCACTTAGTGAAGCATCCTCATGTTTAGGTGCCAATTTGGGTGGGGAAATATTTTATTGCAAACTGCTATGAAACTACCCCATTTTGGCAGGAAGGATGCATGAGAACATGACTGAGCCACGCAACTGGGCACTGTGCATTGCTGGTCTCAGCTCTGTTCAGTTTTTCTGGAATGGCCTTTTGGCAGCTAAGCTCCCTTTCACTGGCATTTGCAGGATTTAGTATGATGCTGGCTCAAGAAGTGAGACCTTCCAGGTAATGATAAACTTCCGTAAAAAGCTGATTTTGATTCAGGTCCTCCAAGAAGGTCTGGCAATCAGAATTCTGTGTCATGAAACAAAGAGTTACCCATTTTAAGGTAGGTTGGGGTATACTGGAGGAGTATACCTTCTGAAGGAGACTGAGATGAGCAGTGATGGCTGCTGCTCTCATACACCCCACAAAGTAGATGGGACCAAAGTCTACTAGTAGAAATTAATTCTAAGCTCTTTTCTTTGTTTGCTGCTGTTGCCTGTAAGCTCGGGGTGGCATTTAGCAATAAATGGATACCTATTTTTGTACTGGAGGTGAGACTGAGAGAATGAACATGGGAACTATGCCACAGTGCCCTGGCTGACAAAACTCCCATAGGGCAGTGTGTGACAGTGGACACTAAGATGATTGCTTGCTTATGGGCTCTATCATTACACCTTTGCAAACCAACTTCCATACCAAGATACACATTCCTTTGGTTTGATCCTTTATTCATTTACTTTTAAAATATTTTATTTATTTATTTATTTATTTATTTATGCATAGAACTGGGGTGTAGGCTGGAGGTGTGGGGGTGAGAGGATTGACCAAAGACAAAGTGGAGAGCAGAACAGGCAGATCTACTGAAATACATTTCTAAGGAGAGCAGCGGGGGAGACAGGAGAGGTTTGTTACGCCCTATGTAGGTTAGCTCCCTGGCTGGGTATTTAAACTCAGGTTGTCACGGTGACAGCTCTGAGACTTAACCTCTAGGCCACCAGGACTTAACCTCTAGGCCCTTTGTTCATGTAAACATTTGTTTAGGATTTTTATGTGCCATGAACTGTGCTAGAAATCAGAGATGGAAAGTCGAATAAAGACAAGATCCTTGCTTATGATGGCTCAG